TACCTCTGTGGTCTTTGCCTACAACTAATAGGAACCTAAATGCTGAAAACTCATCACTTAGATAGCTATGGCCTCCCTCTGAGTTCAGATAACTCTTATATTGATGCACATTGATGAGAGTGTTAATGAAACATTAGAAGAAGCGAGCAGAGATAGGGCTTGCAGGAAAGCACACCTGCATGCACACTTTCAAGATTCTCACACTGCTGACTTTATCAGGACAGCCACGACAGGCTTGCAGCTGGGCCAGCAGGAACTGGGAGATACAGAGATGGTCTCAATGGTTAGGGTAGAAACCTGTTCAGAGAGAACTTCCTGAAACTTTCTTCTTTGCTGTTGGTGAACACTTCTCTGACAGGCATGTGTGAAAACTGTGTGTTGAATCTGTAGTGATGAGCAGTAATTTGATCAGCTAGAAAAATTCTTTCCCCATGAAATGAAATTTCCTCAGGTGTAAGATGAGCAAGTCTGTAAGTGGGCATCCATGCAGCCCAAGAAGCAGAAGCTTGTTAAGAAGTAAAACAAAATCAGTAACTGTTGTGATATTCAAGTGGACAAGAAAAATGCCTTGTAAAAATGCCATGTATCAAGAGGCAGTGTGAAAAAATCATGATCACAAAGAACTTACAGACAAATAATGGTGGAGTGGCTACATTTTACAATTTAACAATGCATGTTGCATGTTGCATGTCCAATGTCAGTTTGCAAGCACATCTGAAGGCAGAATTTGGACCTTCATATCTTTATTATGTTACCTGTAGGAGTCATTGAGAGCAAAGAAGTCACAGATGAGTTTGTGGTGGTATGAGGAATCTTTAGTGAAAACTGCTGAGACTTCTAAGTCAAATTCAAAGAAAAGAGTCAAAGGAAGCAAGCAAATTTGATCAGGAATGATGGTTTCTATCTGAATTAAGACACTATCCCAGTAATTGGAAGAGGTGGCCAGTGTCTTTCTTTGGCTTCCCAGTTAAAGCATCAGAACACTGAGCCTGAGCAGCACTGGGGCTATCAACTGATACCACTTATGCCAGGGAATAAGGAGGCAAGTAAGATGCAGAAGAATGCCTTGAACCATTCATCTTCCCCAAATAGGAATACTTTTAACATAGTCTTTTCCATTTCAAGGGGTACAGAGTTTTTTAATAGATTTCTAAGAATATATTTGCTTTCTGAACTTTGCCATCAGCCCTGTCCCACAGCCGGCATAGAACAGAAATACAATTAAATGTGGCAGGAATAGGAGGAGGTGAAGACATTCTCTTCTTATGTGACTGGCTATGTATGCTTCAGAGGGAGTTGGTGGCCATTGAGTTAGCTGGCTTGGGCAAGTATCACGACAATAAATACTGAGAAAAAAAACCCACATTTTCTTCTGGCTTATTTGAAAAATCACTCCGTGTTACAGAATATTCAGTGCTGGACTCTGTGCTTTACCCTCAAGCAGACTTGCAGTTTTGGCTCCCAACTACAAAATCCTTCTTGTTCATTCAAATGGTAGTTTTTGTTTTGTTTTGTTTTATTTTTTCCTAAAACATTTCCATCTCTGGCACCTTCTCATTGTAGTCTGATGCTCACAGAGGTATGACTTGTGGGATTGAAGTTGTAGGAGTTCAAGTCCCACAAGTCCTACTTCTGTGACAAAGTATGCTTTACTGAGGAACGTATGCTGAGGAAAGCTAGAGGGTTACATAGTCTAGCTGGGAAACACCTCATGCTCTGGTATTTCCCTTTATTTTTGCCCTGGCTCCTTTGCCTCTTTATTTTTAATTAGTGGCACATGCTGAAATTATAATTTACATTCTTTTCAGAAATCAAAAGAATTCCCACTGACAACATTATTAAGTTGGAATTTGAGCCAAATATCTTACCTCCATTAAATGAGAACTTGACTGAACCTGTTTTCCCTTCATTTTGGGAGGTTACTCTGACTTTGAATGGGTCTGGGATGGCTATACACCTGCACAAAGGGTCACTGCAAGGCCAAACATCTGCCCCTGACACCATTTACACAGAGTTTGCTTGCCAATACACAAGACAGAATTTGACAGTCACAGAAGATACCTCTTGAACTGCTGGAATAAAGGCGTGTATTTTGGCTATAGGCAGAACATAGTCATGTGGTGGGGATATTTGTGTGAGAAAGACATGTAGGAGGTGGCGAAGGAAATTTATTGAGTATTGGTGGAGGAAAACTAATTAGGTTCCTGGGCTACAGCATACAAACAAAGCCTTTTCCTTCACTCATGCTGAGCGCCACATGCATGCAGAATCATATGTAAATCTCTCTTAATCTAGCAAGTGTTTTGCATTTTCAATGAAATGAGAGAGGAGGAAAAAGAAACATTTTCCTCTATATTAGAGGTAAGCATGCCCATCAACAAGAGAATTATGGCAATGATTTTGCATGTAAGAGCGCATTTTAGGCAACTGTAGGTTTTGGAAAAAAAAAAAAATCCTCATGCTGGGCACCTGCAAGGTGAGCCCCTGTGCTTCCCAGCACTGCTCTGCACTGTGCAGATAGATAGCCCCTACATAATCTGTTTAAATGCAGCCATGCCCAGTACAGTTGCAGCTGGAGCCCCACATGGCAAGAGCTTTCCCTCTGAGACTGGATTGTAAGCCTGGTGTTTCTTTCTTTTTCCTTTTTTTTTTTTTTTGCTTTTAAGCTGTAATATGTTGCTTAAACTGTGGCGTACCTCAAAGGCAGACCTTTCCCCCTTCCCAAGTTGCACGCCATGCAGTCCTGCAGTCCCCTCACACATCTTGCACAAGTGTTTCTATGGCTCAAGCCCACAACCTTCACACACATAAGCACTCCGGCAGACTTCCTCTTCTCTGTAATCTCTACTCAGATCCGTGGTCCTGCCTGCAGTAACTGCTCCAGAACTACCTCAGATTGCCTCTCCTTGGGCCCCCTGCTACGTAAGCCTGGAAACTGGTCCTTCTCTTCATCAATCCTCTCCCACTCCTTGTGCCAACCTGTAGGATCCTGGAAAGTTCAGGTTCCCCTCTCTAAAATTAGTGCAGTGTCCAGTATGAGCCCAGCAGAGTAGAGCTGCGAAGGATACTCCCATCATGGTACACATCTTTGCTGGGACAGCTCTCCTCTGAACAGCCATGAGGCTTTGAAGCTGCCCCAGCCCTTACCAGCAACCTGCAGAGAGCTCTGGAGACTGACCTCAATTGCTTCCTGCACAGAGTTGAACTCTGCTCTCAAGGACAACTTTGGAGAGCTTACACAACTATCAGCAAAGGATGCACTTCAGGATCCTTAATAAAGTTTTCCTGGCAAGTTGTTTGCTTTTTCTTTTTTTTTTTTTTCTTTTTTTGTAAGGCAGTACTCTCTAGCTTTCCTGGGGCTGGACATTCTCAGGTCTGCCCAATTACATGCTGTACCAAGTTATGTGCTTGAGTTTCAAAATGTATACCAACCTCTGGTTTCTTAAGAAAGTGTGAAAAAGTCTGTCCTACAGTATAGGAGCTCCAGAATATTTTGCTCTTAACTCTACTGGTCCCTGATCTGATGGTCTTCAATGAAGAAATATGTTAGCTAGTATTTTGGGAGAAGAGCAGTTTTGCACAAAAGATGCATAAAGCCTCCCACCAGCTGAGGCTGACCTGGACTTCACATCACCACAGATGTACCTTGAGCCCACAGCATCCCATGGACGGTCTTGTGCTGTGCTTTTTCAGCTTTTCAACAACTGAGGATGTTGAGGCTACTTATGCTGTATGCAACACTCTACTCCTTACTTATCTAAGTGTGCTGGAAAAAAACCTTCTTGGCTAGATTGTTGCCTAGAACAACACTGCCTAAACATTAAAGACAAACAAGATTAGGAGACCATATGGGTTTAAGTAAAAAAGAACACACTTTATTTATCTACAAGGCAGTACATTGTCGTATAAAAAATTAAGTGCAGGTGAAGCTGCACCAAATGCTATTAAGGCAGCAAATTCAAAGGCTGTTATTTAAAAAAAAAAAAAAAAAAAAGAGGACAATTAAAAAAATAAAATAAAATCAGTGTTTTGCCATACCGATAAAGATTTGGTATGGCAGTACAAAGAACCATGTATTTCTAAGAACCTGATTTAGTACATAAGACCCAAGGTAGGGAACAATTAGCTAGACATGGAACAAAACAGATAACACGAACAAGACAGTGTTCTCCCAAACATATGAAGGTGCAATACATGCTGTTACGAACCAATGTGAAACAAAACCACACATTGAGACAATTTAAAAAAAAAAAAATCTCCCAGGAACAGTGTTCAAAAATATTGCTTATTAAAAAAAAAAAAAAAAAAAAAAAGGGCGGGGGGGAATATAAATGATGTAAAAAAAAATTAAAATAAAAAAGTCTGAAATGCTAGTGCATAGTCAATTAGCTAACATCAACATTTGTTTTCTTCCCATATAAAGCTCTACTGCTCCTTTTACACTAGCAGCATGTCTACACGCTAAGGTCTTTAGCAGCAAAACACAGTATTCATTTGGCATTTACAAAATTAAATTACTGAATAAAAATATAATTTTTCTTATAAATCTATGTTTCATACAGTAATATTTTTTTAAAGCAAGCTAATTAACCCCCCCCAACAGAAACACACAACGTATAATGGTCTAGAACCATAAACAGAATGAAAGAGTATTTCAAGAGGAATGGATGTCTGAGCATTCACGAATCAGTTTTCCCCCTTTGCACAGACTAGCGTGTGTAGTAATGCTTTTTTACTTCAGTATTTTACACCAATGCATTTTGTTCAGTGATTTAAAATACATCTGTTTGAGTACCTGCTCTGTTATTATAAAAAAATAAAAACAAAAAACACCCAACCCCTGGATAGCACATCACTGAAATAACAATACTGGTGTATCACGTCTGCTTGATCTCAGAAAGTACAAAAAAAATTGCCTGTATTGTAAGTCTGCACTTAAGATCATTAATTACTGATTAAAACTTAGTACCTAATAATTTAGGCAAGTATCGTTCATTCACTCAAAAAAAAAAAAAAAAAAAAAAAAAAATCTCTTAAGTTGGGTGAAATCCAACAAGAAAATATATGCTCAGTGACTAAATGCACTTCGTGCTCTCCCAACTGTTGTACCACAACAAAGATAGGCTCGTCTCCCATTCATGAAAAGTCCTTGTGCAGAGGAACAGGGACTCCCCAGCGAACGAGGAGTGTTTGCCAACCATAATGCTTCTCCGGAGAAGTCCGTCGGCCCTTTCACATCACCAGAGTCCGGGTTGGGAATGCGGCCATGTACTTGCGTGCCTGGTCGGTCAGGGCCATCTGGTCCTCGATTTTCCCGCAAGACGCCGACTCCCAAGCGTTGTTCAAATGCTACGTTGGAAAAAAGAAGAAAGATTTGGGGTGGACATCAAGGCATTTGTTCGCGGGCCCCCAGCTGCAAACCTGGCAGTAGGTATCGAGCGAGCCTGCAGTGCCAACTCCAAAGAGATGGACACCTCAGAACAACAGGGAAAAAACTCCATCCCTGCTTCTCAACTTGTGACTGCAGGGGTGGGCAAGCAGACCAGCCGCACAACAGCACACAAGCAGAGCCAGGATTCAATGGCTCTCAAGTTCCCACTCACAGTTTATTCTCTCTAAGTCCATATTAAGGACTCTGATGACCCAAGTACAACGAGCAAACAGCTCTGTGCCCGAAGCTGCTTTCACCTGCGTGCAGCAATTAGCATGTGCCTGTGAGCAGAGCTCCTCTGGCAAGAGAGGAGACGTGGGGGGACCCTTGGCAGAAGCAGCATTTTAATTATCAAGAAAGCCATTTTGCTTCTTGCGGTATTTATGGAGGTTAGAGACACCATTTAGTATAATGTTAAACTGAGATAAACATATCTGCACAGAAGGCTGTGCACAGTGTGTTTATTTACTCCCTACACATACAAGATGTTTCTCATTGCCTTGAGCTATAAACAGTAATGAAATTTCAAAGCTCCTGGAACTTACCAGTATTACACACACACTCGTATACGTGTATTGTTTTTGTGCTTCAACTCTTTCAATTACTCAGTTTATTTGTTTTTCCACATTGAGATATTCACTAAACCCTAAATAAAAGCCAGATTATTAGATATAGACAGCTAAGCATAAACCTTGAATTCCAAAAATGCGCATGACTGCTCTCAGGAAAGCTGCCTGCCAGCAAGGGGCTCATGGGACCCTTCAAGATTAAGAAGCTCTAAGACCAAGATCCACCAACACAAAACAGGAGAAACCCTTCCCTGCTTTCCTCTACTTTGAACAAGGTTCATCTTTGCAGCTCAAGATCTACATCACTCAATGAGATGGCCAAAGCCTTCTCAACACTTAGGGCACCAAGCAAAGTGTACTTACTGAAATGCAAACTGGCCACTAAGAGCAGAAGCACCCCAGGATGCCCATGGTTCTTTATGCTGCTCCTTCTAGTTACTAACTGTGCAAGAGGATCCTTAAACTATCTTCTTGAAGAATGCTCTTTAGATTGTAAACAGTGTTATCCAAGGGACATGTACGGTCAGAAGGCAGCATAGGAAATGCAGATAAATTTCATTATAGGCCCTAATCAGGGCGCTGCTACACAGGGACAGAGGTTCTCTGCTCTGGAAGGTTTGCAGCCTAAAATGGATAAAAGCAGTGAATAAGCTGTGTGACCACAGTGGGGAAATGCAGGTTAGTTCTATGGGGTTCCCCAGACATAGCTCTCTCTTATCTGTAGACGAGTTCCAAATGTTGTCTCTGCTACTGATGCCTTTCTGCAGGCTGAACTCCTGCTCAGTTTCAGTAGGAGTTCCCTGCGTAAAGGAGAACAAGGTCCAGCCTCAAATCATTAGTTTCTAGAGCTTTTTGTGGGAAGCCCGCATCTGTGAAATGAACAAACACACAATTACCTCTTACAAGAGTGGTTCAGCCTGGTCAGCTTGTGCTGTGAGCCTTGGGCACACACTGCAGCCAAAAGCAGGTGTGACACACTTTTTGCATATGACACGCCACAGATTCTTTTATGCTTTGGTTAAACAACTCTGAGGGTAACATTTTCAAAGGTGCCTACATCAGCTGGCAACCTGCAGCCTCCTACTGATCCTCAGTGGGACTTGGGCACCTGCAAATACTTTCCCCTGCTATTTTAGAGGCATTTGCATCAGGGACCAAAGTAATTGTTGGCGCAGTGCCATCGGTTTTGCTTAGAAGTCAGGTACAGTCTGTCCATCTCAAAAGCAATTGGTAACTACAAAATATCCATCATTTTAAGGCAGAGAAATATGTGTCCATTCAGTATTTCCCTGTGACCTTTCAAAGCTTCAAAGAAACTGGTTAAGAGAAGTTAGAGCAGCAGAACCCTAGGAAACAGTAAATATGTAAGGGAAAGCCCATCCATCACTATATGCCAGTTTTTAAAAAATGGAAGTAACTTCAGGCAAGTAGTGTCCCGATTTCATTAATTACATTTCATTGTTAGTACCTACACTGAGCTCTTTGTATTAACAGCCGTGTGCTAGGAAAGAAAAAAACAAAATCCGCATCCCGTATCTCCCACATCTCAGCAGGCTGCTGCACGTCACTCCTTCCACCTGAATCCTGCTCCTCGCCCAGCTATGCAAGAGGCGTAGCAGACGCCGCAGGGCTGCAGCCCCCTGCCCTCCCCTCAGAGCCAGCTGTCCCCTCACCCTGGGGGAGCAGGGTCTCCAGCACATGTCTGCCCCACACTGCTTACTCAAGCTCTCCTGGAGAGACAGCACAGGACAGTCCACACTACTGAATTTTGACCCTGGTAGTATTTTCCCAGAAATTCATTACACTTTTTTTTTTTTCTTTTTCCTTTTCTCTTGGGACAATTTACAATGTAAATTTATAGCTTACATCGAGCTCTCATTGAAGACAGTGAGCGCTTGGCGAATACAGAAGAATTTGACCCAAAGTAATGTATTTATTACAGCGGCGTATTTCAATTTTACCCTGGGGAATTCGGGTAACATTTACAGTAGGTATTTTTAATAAACTTTTCCCGTCTGAAGCCTTGCCTCCGAGCAGTGAGCACATAACAAAGCACAATGCCTCGCCTTGCCAGCCCTGCCGCGCGGCACTGGAGGCACGTGTGAAAGTCATCTGAAGGCGAGAGATTCGACTGCCGCTCTTGGCAGCGAGCGCTGGGTCCCATGACCGATGCACAGCATGTTGCCTGGGCTGAACACCCGCAGCTAATGGATCGCTTAGCAAAAAGGGAAAGCAGAGCTGGAGGCTGAGAAGCACGGCGCTTCCTTCCATGTCAGAATCTCGGTGAGTATTGACAGGGCTCTGCTACTGGAAAGCATCACCGCTCTGCAGACAGCAGCATTTCCAGGACTTATGAAAAGAGAGGAGACCCGGACAAACAGCTTGGGGTATGTAGGAAAACAGCACAGAAACAAAATCAAAATGTTCCTTGTGGAAAACGCTCATTGTGTCTCCCCTATTGCTCTGTAAATCAGTGGATGAAACACAAAAGCTTTGTAATTAGAAGCCAAACGGCTTGACCCAAAACCCACTGACGCTGATAGGCGTGCTTTCGTTGATTTAGTGGATTCATTCCATTTCAATTCAGCCATCTAAGAGTGGGGTGTTCCTTTTGGCACCGAAACGCTTAGCCAGTGGGGAAAGAACGAGACTTCTGTGGTATGATTCATTCCATATATGTCTTTCATTGGCTCAAAGAGCAGGACACTACTCTTAATTTTGCTGTTAGTTCAAAGAATTTAAGCTTTCTCCACCAGTATTTCCACAGCTGCATTTTGCTCTTCCATGCACAGCAACTTCTTAAGTTACAGCTGGGACTCGTGAAGAAGCAGCTATGCTACTCTGAGTTCCCATAGCATAAAATCACAGACCTCCAGTCAATTCCGGCTGTGTCATTCTCACTGCTTCATTTTTTTTAACCTCAGTAATCCTCTCAGCACATCCTTCTCCTGGCAGTGGAACGACCTCACTTATACTGCAAGGTACCTTAAGCTGCCCTTGGGCAGATGTGAGCAGCAGTACACAGACTGTTTAACTGGGATATCCAGTTAAACTTCAAATAAAAACTTGGAGCATCTAGAGAAAACAGAATTGCAAGGAAAGAAAACCCCATGGAAATTTGCTCTTTGGACTTTAACTAAAATAGCCAAAATGTTTTGAACATTTAGAAAGCTCAGTCTACCAGAAGGTATCTCAGCCTTTTTCCCTATCACAGAAAGCTGGCCTTCTGGCTAGATAATCTGCAGCACATGCCACGGAAAAGGTGGCTTAGAACAGAAATGTAGAATTCTTTCATTTGCAGTGAAACGATCAATGCCAAAGCTTGAAACAAAACATTTTCTTTGCAGTGTGGTAAGATATCATCTAGGACAATTTGGTTTTCTACCCCATGAGGATGAGAAACAAAGGAAGCCCTCCTAGATCAGTAAGGACTCCAGTCCTAACTCCAGTCCTCTACTCCATTTGAGAAGGCAAAGCACTATTCCTGTTCCTCTGAGGCATGGGATGGTCTTTTCCTAAATTCTGAGGTTTCTGCCCATTTTCAGAATTACAGCTTGCTACATATGTGAGAATAGGATGGCCCAGCTTTTATTATAAGTGTGTTATTAGTGCTAGCAGCGCTATTTGGTGGCACTTTCAAGAGCTTAACTCTGAAGCCCTTAATCAGACAAAACCCATGTTCAAGATGTATGAGCTTTCTAAGATTAATGGGAGATATGGAAAGAAATATGAGAGATCAGGTCTGAGAACCTGCAACTCACATTAGGATATTCAGCACCTTTCTAATTGTGACCTTAAGTAATTTTATTTTATTCACGAATCAGAACACATTGTTGCAAATGCCTGGTAGTCAAATGGTCCATTTTCTGCAACAGCTCTGCAGCTTCTCAAAGCTGAGAGACCATCACCTGCAGCAGGCAGCTACACCTCCTGAGCTGTTCACAGCCTGATTTCTGCTGCTCTGGGAGGAAAGCTCCAGACACTATGGCTGACCTCCAGCTCTCAACCACCCTTTGCTTCTCTTGCTTATGCAAAGCATAGAACATGAGAGAAAGGATAACACCCATGGGGGAGAACCTCAGGGCTACTTCTCTTTCCAGTGAAAATCTTAAAACTCCCAGGAATTGAGCACAGCATGTTTCCCCCTTTCCCCTTGATTAATCCAAGAAGGGAATAAGACTATGGGACATTCTTGCTCCACGAGAGTCACAGAGAAGAGTAAAAGAAAGGCTCCTCCTGAAATGTGCTGATGCAGGAGGGTGTGCTGCCTTGCCTGTAAGCACTGTCTTAAAACAAGCTGCAAATGAAATTCCATGTTTCTTTTTTAACTGAGAAAAATAAGGTTAATGACAGCTCATGATCACGAAAAGGTTAACCAAGTAACTGTTTTAAAATCCTTTAGACTTACTCTTTAAAGAAAAGGGTTACATAAACCGCTGAAAGTCAGGAAATTCGAGCTGAAACGTGTCAGTCTGTGGTTAAAAAATGGAAAGTGACAGGAGCTATGGGTTTAAGAACATTCTCTTTAGCTTGCAGGTCTTTTACCCTGCGTTGTTTCCTTTGTTAGTGGGGGAAGAAGATATCAAAGCAGCGCTATTTTCTTAAAAGGTTCCATTTCATGGTGTCTTTTGATAGCCCGCAGGGTTAGGTGGATGGCCTATGATTTAGCCTACTTTTCTAACTGTTAAAATGTCTATGTTAGGATAGTTTGTATTGTGCACTGCTACTTGTGTCACTGCTATGGAACATAATGTGAAATAAAATGTAACTTTTAGACAGGAACAGACAGGAACATCATTTTTATGTAACCTCTTATTTGGTGCAATTCAAGCGAAATTCAGTACAGATCTTCAGTCTGCCTCAATAAGGTCTTCAGACATTATCCCAAAATCTTAACCCTTGAAGAAGTTCCCGATGAAGCCAAGATCTCTCTGCAGTGAGACTGAGTATAGTTTGAGTGACAAAAAAAAGTAGGATACTGGTTGTAGCTAACTCCAACAAATATAAAGCAAAAGTACTTGGGATTCATGAAATGCACTCTAAAACCAGTTCCACCCTAAGACAACACAATGGGATGGCGAGACATCTCCTGTTCCTGACAGTAAAAGAACATCCCATACACAACCATGAGATTTGCCATGCAGGACCGAAGTGCTGGCTAAATCTTCATACCTTACCAGAAAAACCCTACATACAGATGCTATTACACCCAACATTTTATGAAGAGGGGAACAAACAAGGCTGAAGCCCAAGTTTCTCTACTGTTTTTCTCTCTTGAATTAGTGCAAAACTGATAGCACCCTATTCCAGAGTGGTTATATCCAGCTACCTGTCTTTGCATGCTAAATGCTGCGACATACCGTTCCTCCCAAGTTGATGGTGAATCACGATGTATTCATCAGCAACTATTTACCAAGTTGTGCATGACCAGCTCTACATCCTGAAGAGTTTGCATGGAACATTTGTAACTAACCAGACTCTGGTGAGTTTGTGGCCAGACAAGTGCCTTTTTCTTTAAGTACATGCAGTGCAAGTTACTAAAGCAATGAAAAATACTGCAGACTTATAAACATACTACTTCCCTCTTACAAAAGTTTAATTAAAAAAAAAAAAAAAAAAAAGAATTTTACGAACAAATTGTATTAAAAGCATAACAGTAGGGGAAAAAAAAAAAAAGTGTAGCTCATTCTCTCTACTCTTTCTCTCTCTCCTTCCCCCCTCCATGCACACAGCCCAAGGTGGAAAGAGTGCTGTAATTCTTACTTGGACTGGAGTCAATGAAATTTGCTTAAGTCAGAAAGGTTGGATCAGACCCAAAGTATTAACAACAGCAATGTAAACATACACAGACACAATTATATTTCACTCCAAAGAGTTCTCTAGTGTTTCATTTCTACCTGCATTGAATCAATGGATTTAGACCAATATTTGTATGTGTCCGTGTTTGTGTATGCCTATCTGTATGTGGGCAACACAACAAATTATGAACCAGAAAGTGTAGAATGATAACGTGCTAACATCTGATCACATGCAAAATGCTACAAGTCAAAAATGAAGCACAAATGCCAACATTTTCAACTGCTTTGCATCCTTTAGACAGGTCATGTCCTCTCTGTAGGTGAATGGAGAAAAGCATTAGGGGCACAACAGCAGTATATCCCTTCTGGCATGCATCAAACCCAAACTGTGGCTCCTTTCAGCACTGCACAGCACCAAATACCCCTCTGATGTGAGACCAAGCAAGTCTTACAGCAGAGGAAGCAGATGCTCCCTCCTAACCAATGGCACTAAGTCCAGCACAGACAGCACAGTGAGGGACAAATGATACAGCACTGTTATAAAATGCCTGTGTTTTATTCTGAAAAAACTGTCTATGCCATAGACACAGCTACCTCTAGCCTCATTCTTGTTTACATTTCAGCTGAAAAGCTCAATGTTTCCTCATCAGCAAAGGGGGTTACATATCGGTACACCAAGAAGCTAAATCTAAGTATTCATTTTGAGGCTTTTTACAACTGCTTTGTCTTTTGGTTCAACTTCTTAAGCACTGAAATGAGATGGAAAGTTCCTCTTAACTCAGTTTCTACTCAAGAAAAAGTCCTCTTTATCCAAACAATAAGAATATCTGACTTCTAACATGCAAAACTAAGGACTTTTCCTGACCAAGGAGTAAAGAATGGGATCCAGAACAGCCTACAACCTGACTTGTGTAAACTTCCTGACCAAAACAGCGTAAGTTAGGAGAGAAGGTTAAACAAGTTCTTTCATTTACAGCGGCTTGTTAAGAAATTATTTTTAGATAGCAGGAAACATAGCATTGTTATGGCCAAGATCAAAAGTTCTTACTTTACGTGCACCTTAAATGCTGCATTTTTATTACAGGCAGAGCACAGGCAACCACCATGTAACACAAGACAACCCACATCTCTACCAAAATGTTAGCTACCTCAACATTTTGCCCTAAGCTTACTAAGGAGCCCGGGTATGGCCTCTCAGGTGTGCCCTCAAATGTGTCCCCAGAGTGGGAGCCATGGGCTGTTCCACCATGAGATGGTTCAAGTTCAGTGCCCAGATGACCGCCTCTGAGCTTGAGTAGCAAGGATGTACTACTGATGTTTGAAATGCAAAAATGGGACTGTGTGTGAAGTTTTAGTAGCTTACATTATAATGCCAGGCTAGAGATGCTTGATGCAAACCCTGTTTTGTTCATTCTTTGTTATGGTAAATAACCCCTTATGTAAATTCTGGATAGAAGCAGGAAAAGAAAGGATTAGCCATGTGGACTGTCTGAAAGTCAGGTATTGTGGTGTTAGTTATGGTTTCCTTTCTGACATGATTCACTCTGGAGAATGACTTTCTCCCAACCCACCCATGTGGAGAAGGAATAAAAAAATCACTTATTCACCTGCCTCAAAAACAAAGGCTGTGGTGGAAGGATAATTAATCACTATCTACGCTGTGTTTTGTTCTCTGAAAGATGTGTGAGGGCCCAATCTAAAGCCCACACAAATTGATGAAAAGGCTGCTAAGGATTTTGGTGGGCTTTAGGTCAGGCTCAATGGAATAGCAATTCATGTATTTGAAAATATAGCAAGTTTATACATTTGTTGTTAACAACTGGAACAACCACAGCTACCCAAAATCCAGCCTGACACCTGGCTGACATTGAAACAGTCACAATTTTAATTCAGCTCAGGGGCTCTAGGATGTCCAAGGAGTGCTAAGGAAGCACTTGCAGACCATCACTCACATCTTCACCTCTAGTGCATCAACAGAGCAGGCACTTGGGGACGGACCCCGACCCCGTGTCATGGCAGCACAATGTTGGGCTGCAACTGGCCAGGAGTGCTGGCTGAACCTGCACTGGCACAGCTGGGCTGCCCAGGTCCATTCTCCCAACCCAGGACAGCTGACAAGCTCTGACCAGCGCTGTACTATCAACATACATATGTAAAAGTGTATGTTTTGTTACCTGCAGTGGGCTAGCTAGTGGTCGGTTCCTAGGTACAGCAAATGTTTTGTGGAAACTGCCGTCCTCTTCTGACACTGGCATCTTTAAAATTGAGCTGGTGAGAAGATTCTGAACAAGGAAAGAAAAAAAAATGTTTTCAGGTATTGAAGAAAACCACCTGAATTCGTATGTACTAAAAGCAAACTCAGCCTGATTGTGAAGCCAGCAATGGTGGGCACTGCCACAAATACAGCACTCAGCCTTAAGTTCCCAAGTACAAGAGAAATAGCAACACGGAACAATCTTGGTGAGGCACAGACCCATGCATAAGCCAGGCCTCCTTTGCACAAAACAAAGCAGAGCCTCTCTTTCTTTTAAAAGTTTTAACTCTGCAGTCCAGTCATTCCTATACACAGATGCAGCATCCTCCAAGAGCACAGTCTTTGCAGACTGCAAAGGCTGTGACTGCAACATCAGCTACCTTCTATAGGCATCATAGCAACCTAATTAAGAGCAGGATTTTGCTTATTATGTGTTTAATACAGACATAATGAATAACACCTACTTGTGAGGAAGGTCAAACAAAAAAAAACTCTCTCTTGCTTTTAAGAACTTTACAGATGTAAAACAAATGATCATTTGGCAGTATGAAAATATGCACTTACTGGCACATCTTCCATGGAAGATGCATGTGTAAAGAGCTGAGTGTTCAGGTTTTCCCCTTCCCAGTGGTTTGAGCAAAAAAAATTTCCAGCTTTATCTGTAGGAGACTCCACCTGAAAGCAGGAAAAGCACCATGATAAAACCCAGCATCTAACTGACCAGAGAGAGATCAATCTGTCAGTTGTTTAACAAATTGAACAAATATTCTTCACAGCTGTGCATAACGCACATTTACAGTACTTTCTTTTACCACAACCTTGCTCTTTGTTGAAAATGATGTTCAAGGTTCTCAAAAAAATCCCCTAATATAACTTTGAATACTTGCACTCAGTGTTCTGTCAGTATTCAAGAGTTTAATCCTCTAAAAAGGACTGAGAATATATGTATTTTTAGAATTTTAGTGACAAAGTAATATAATGCAACATCCCCAAATGTTCAGGTTTCTAAATCACTCCATGTAGCTTGGTCCCCGTGGGGTTCTTCTATAGTCTTCACCAGTATTAGAAAGATTCAATCCAAATTCCTGTCTAATTTTTTTTCTTTTTAAGTTTCAAATGAAAACTGCATTAGAACAGCCTAAGCAAACCCCTGCTGAAAACAGCAGAAAGACTTCTATGGAAATCAATGGGAGATGAATTAGACATGCCTAGTACACTATATAGAACTGACAGTAAGATCTTGGGGCTCACATGAAAGAAAAACAGACACAGCTCTTTAATAGAAAAGGTATTGGTCTAAGTTTCTCAGCAAAGAGGGCTGAATTAAATTGCCTCAGGTAAGTTTGCGATTTACCTCTTGTTTGATTTTCTTCAGCAAAGGGGGTCCACTTTCATGTAGCCCTGCCACTATCGCAGATTCCTCCGACTCCTGCTTGATAACGTCCTGCAGATCTTCTACAAGATGAGTCGGAGTTTGAGGCTGAAAGGAAGAAACGTTACACACGAGTCCCAGAACATCCCTCTACACTAAAATCAAAGCAACTTTTATCATTGTTTCCTTCTTACCAACATCTTCAAAGGACCATATTTGATTTCCTGAGCTGCAAGTGCGTTTTTGAATGGAGTGGGTGTTCTTGGAGAGCTCTCTAATATCGACCTCTTGATTGCAGGAGTTCTGAAACTTTAGAAAGAGGAAAAAAACTTTAGAGGAACTGGATGGAAATATTAACTCCTTACAAAAACACATGCATAAAAGCAATCATTGTGGTGAGATTTTGACAAATATTTTCCTTCAACCATATAATCCATTTTGCTCTTCTGTATTCTTCTGGAAGAACATCTATTTAACTTGAATAAGGTGGAATGGCTTTATTAAAAAAAAAAAAAACAACTGATGAGTCTATGTGCATAGTAATAGCCTTCCTCTGCAGTTCTGCAGTGGAAGTTTTATTCCAAACTAAGAAAAATCTGAATGCATTAGCACATAACTCTGCAGGGCTCCATCACATAACTCCTTCCTGGGCTCCATCAAAAGAGCGGTGGCCAGCAGTGACAGGGAGGTGATTGTTCCCCTCTACTCTGCTCTTTGAGGCCCCATCTGGAGTACTGTGTCCAAGTCTGGAGCCCCCAGTACAAGAAAGACAGGGAACTGTTGGAG